TTTTTCTGCTTCAGCTTCTTTCAGCTAATTTCAGCTGTTTTGTGCTTCTTCTAACTTATTTCTGCAAGTTTCATTTTTTTCTGCTATTTCACAAACGTTGTAGCTGTTTTATGCTAAATTAGGCTTTTTCAACTTGTTTCACATTTTTTGCACTACTTTAAACTCTTTCAGCTCAGTTCAGCAACATTTTGCTCTCTCCACGTCCTTCAGGTAATTTAAACTTTCTGCTTTTGAATGAGCTCATTCTGGGGATTTTTTTTTTAGCTCATTTCAGCTTCCTTCTGGTAGTTTAAGCTTCTTTCTGATTTTTAAGCTACTTTTCAGCTGTCTTTTGCTAATTTAAGCTTTTTTCAGATAACATACACTTTTTTTAGCTCGTTTCAGCTCTTTCAGCTTCCTTCTGGTAGTTTAAGCTTCTTTCTACCTTTCAGCTACTTTTCAGCTATTTTTTTAATATAATTTCAGCTTTTTTAGCTAATTTCCTAATTTTTGTGCTCATTTCTGCTAATTTAAACCTAATTCAGAAAATATGTGCTCCTTTTGCTTTCTTCTGCTAGCTAAAGCTCAAGCGGAGCTCTTTCTGTTTGCTGGAATTTTCCACGTGGGCGGGGTGTTAGCTTCACTCAGCTGCTAACTTAGGCTTGTTCTTCCTTTCAGCTACATTTCAACATGTTTTTAGCTCATTTCAACTGTTTCTCTAGTTTATAATTATTTTAATGTTTTTCAGTTTCTTAAAGTCCTAAAGAGTTCATAAGTGTAATAAATGAAGAGTTCACTTCTTACCACGCCTGAAGTTAGAGGTTTGAAGAAGCTAAACTGAGCCAAAATGGACGGGAAAGGTTTTATGACAAATTAATGAAACCGTGTGAGCGTGTGCGTCTCCCGTACAGACGTGACTGTAGTGACGTCAGTGACGGAGTCCAGAGCGGGACAGGCCAGGATGTCCGAGTACAGCAGAACCAGCTCCCTGCAGAAACACACAAAGGTCAAAGTTCAGGCACCAAACAGACCCCAACAGTTTTTCACTGGGTTCACCTGCAGGTCTTCAACTGCTGGCTCCTGGGCTCCTGGTCGTCCTGCAGCCGGAGGGTCACGCACACCAGCTTCTTCAGATCAGGAAGTCCGAGGAACAACAGCGACTTGTCGTTTCCTCCGCTCATCCTGGAAAACATTCAACCGTTAACAAAGTAAAGGTCCAACAGATACTCAAAAAGATGCTTATTTCTCATTAAAACTTACTTTGTGCAAACTCATTCACTAAATTTATTAAAATCAGCATCTCAGAGGCTCTAAAAGGCTTTTAGCTACAACACATTGATGTAACAATAAGATCATATAATTCAAATATTAACATAAAATTATACAAATCTGGTCTAAAATGGATCGTCTTAAAACAGATTTATTGTAATTATTCAACTTTGTTATTAACACTACAACAATTAGACACTTTCATTAGAAACAAAAACAACACATAAGGTTGTTAAAATAAAAAAATCATTTTTGTGAAAAGTTTAATAAAAACTTACCTCTGGCTTTTTAGCTCCACAGTAACAAGTTAAATCCGTTTTTATTGTATTTATCCTTAATATTTCGGTCAATGACCACAAGATTTACATTTAAACTACATTAACATTTGGATTATTCTGCGGGGGAACATATAAATGTGTTTAAATTAACAAAAAAAAGCGATTATTTTTTTTTATTTAGCTTCAAAATACCAAAGCTAGCAGCTCCTGCCAAAGATAAAGAAAAGAAGCAAGAGGCCTCACTATTTTGATTTATACAAAAAAGAACCCATCATTAATTATTTGGTATCGAATGAAAGTTGTATTTATTTATTTCACAAAATGCGACAGAGGATACAGCATGTCGTTTCTAAGTTTTTAATAAACTTCATTTGCAAATAAGTTTTATTTTAGCTGCTAATGTTTGTTTTTCGCAGAGTAACTTCTCTTACCAATAGACAATCTTTGATTTTTGAGCAGCGTGTTTTTCCCGCCGGAGACTCGCAAATGTTTAAAACAAAGTTTTGTCTCGTGCCAGCAACTTGCTCGTGCCGACAGGAAGTTGGGAACTAAACGGATCGTCTGGGTGCCCGCTGAAATGGACGCTGTGGTTAATGAGACAAACGTTACGTGAGTTGCGTGAGATAACGCTTTCCTTGCGTGAGAAAGTGCTTTCCTTGAAAACTTTGGTCAACTTTGGCCTTGTTCTCTCCCTGTGGCCTCGCCTCAGGCCTCACGGCTTTCTGATGATTGACAGGCCCAACAGCCAATCAGAAACGTCCTTGTTTAAAGACCCGGAAGTAAACGACCAATGGCAGAGCTGGACGAGGATGAGGGCGGTGTCAGTGTTCCTGCAGGGTCGTTAAATCGTAAAGTATTCATTTTTAATGCGGTCTCACCGGAACTTAGAAGCCATTCCTTCAAAATTAAACATTGATAACGTTAAAAGCACAAAAACAAAACATAATTGAGAAGGATAAAATTGTAAAACATTAATATAGAAACATTAAATAAATTAAATATAGTTGTTGTTTTGTTTTTTTATATATATTCCCTTAGAATATTTGAAATTTCTGAGCCGCGGTATTTTCTTATTTTGCAAGTAGCAACCGGAAGTGTGTTTAAACTCGGGTAGCTTTAGCTGCGTTGACTTGGCGGCGCTGAAACTGTGAGGACCGTCTGGGTGCGGAGTCACGGTCCGGACCTGGTCTCTGGGATTATATAACCCGACGCAGGCCGTGTAGCTCCTCCGTCTCTCTTCCGAACCTGACCCCCGCACAGATGGGTGAGGAGCAGAAGAGCCCGGATGGAGTCCGGTACTTCAGGCTGTCAGAGATCGAGGAGCAGAACTCCTTCAAGTCCACCTGGATCATCATCCACAACAAGGTCTACGATGTGACCAAGTTCCTGGAGGAGGTCTGGACTTCTCTTCTCATATGTCCTGCAGGGTCGGGGGACAGAAAGTCTCAGAAACTGCTTTCATTTGGATTAAATGTCTTTAATCTTCATGCTTTAAATGTGTCAATCAGAGCAGGGGCGTCACCAGGAACTGCGTCTGTGGGGGCCCTTAACAATAACTAACAAAAAGGTTTTATTCAAAAAGTATAAGTGTCTTAATCTTTCCGATCAATGTAGCTGGGTGTAGAAATAGTTGTTGCTGTGTTTAAAATGTTCAACTTCAGGGGAACTTAAAGAATATTTTATTACTAAATTTGCAGAAAATATCTAAAGTTATGAAAAGTGCGTCATCTGCTGTGGCGCACGGAGGCGCCATATTTATTCATTTCTGTTCTTTCAACGAGACGCTCGAACGTCCGAATCTTTTAGTTTTAGATTTGGTTGAACGGTTTTTATTCCAGGGTGGGATGAGTCTGGACGCTTACTGATGATTGTCAAACGTCCCTCGGCTCGTGCCTCCTGGACCTGCGGCTCTTTGTCTCCATCAGGACGGTTCTGGCTGATGTTGGACCGCTCTTCTTCTTGGTGGAGTTCTGTTAAAGTGGTTGGGGTCCTGGTGTCGGACCCGGCTTTAATCAGAGTCAAAAAACAGATCCAGGTTGGGTAATTGGGAAATCCGGTCCAGGAGGTTGTCCTCCTCACATTGTCCCACAGCATGATGCTGCCACCACTGTGCCTGAAGGTTGGTTCAGTGTTCTCAGGTCTGTCCCACCTGGACTCCTCCAGACATCCTCCTTGTCTTTGTGTCCAAACAGCTCAAACCTTGTCTCCTCTGACCATCAAACCTTTCTCCAGAAGACATTTGTCAGTCCATGTGGACAGCTACAGAGTTCAGTCCAAGTTGTTTGTCCTCTCTGTCTATGGTGATGTAATATAGAGACAGAGACGTGGGTGGACAGGGACACTGGTGGACAGAGACTGATGGACAGGGACACTGGTGGGCATGGACTGTGGTGTTCCAGCAGGTCCTTCAGTCTTGGTGGTTCTTGGACATGTGGACCGTGAGTGGGACAGATCGAGTCTTCGTTAAGACAAACGAGCAGCTGCAGTCGATCGTGGTCACGAACAGGAAGTTACCAGGCCTCGTCAGAATAAAATGCCTTGTAGAAGCACTCATGAACAGGTCCAGGTGAATGTTGGACCAGAATAAAGTTTTTGAGTCTCTGGTGTAATCATTAAGTGTTCTGGACCTTCAGAACCGTTGGGTGCGTTCTGCAGCCGGCTCGAGGACGTGAGCAGAGGAGGAACTTTCACACACAGATAAAATCCTGTGAGCCGGGCCGTTTGGACCTTTGTCCTGCTCTGAAGGCTGTACAGAGGTGAGGCTGTGGGCGTGGTCTCAGGGGGTTCTGGTGACGGAGCTGTCGGAAGGACCGGGCTCAACCAGAACCACACACCCAGGGTTGAGGCTGAAAGACGTTAATCAGCAGCTGACTGATGATCAGAGTCCAAACAAACGGGCCGCGCACGGCAGGGGAACATTCTTCAGCACAACACCGGCAGATTCCACCGGAAGCTGAACACTTTCATTTCTAAACATGCTGCTGGGCTTTGAAGTCCTGATCCAGTCCTCTGTTCTGGTCCCTGACCCGGTGTGTTTTTGTTGCAGCACCCCGGAGGCGAGGAGGTTCTGAGGGAGCAGGCCGGAGGAAACGCCACTGAGAGCTTCGAGGACGTGGGCCACTCCACGGACGCCCGGGAGATGGCGAGCGGTCTGGTGATCGGCGAGGTCCACCCGGTCAGTACCAGCTCCAGGTTCTGTTCTGACCCAGTTTCCCTCAGAGTTTAATGACCCGCTGTGTGTCTTTGTCCATCTGCAGGACGACCGGTCCAAGATCGCCAAACCTGTGGTGAGTGGGACCCTGCCAGGTGCATTCTGGGTAATGTAGGAGGGTTAACCTGGTTTGTTAGTAAGCGTGTGACCTGCTGCTGATGATGTCTGTTTTCCAGGAGACGCTGGTGACCACGTTGAAGGAGGAGAGCAGGTAACCCACCTGACTGACCTTTAGTGCCCCGTCCGACTCGCAGGAAGTGAAACATTTACTTCCTGTCTTTCCTTCACTGGATGTTGCAGAGTTAACTAGCAGCTGCTCGTTTAACCTGTCAGCAAGTTCTGCTGGGTTTAGCTCGTTAGCTAACGAGCTACTTGTGTTTCAAACTGTTAGTTCAGCTGTTTATTTAGCTGTTCAGTTGTTTGGTCATGTTTGTTTAGCTGTGTGTTCGGCTGTTTGTCAGTTTCTTCAGCTGTTTGTTTAGCTGTGTGTTCGGCTGTTCAGCTCCCTGTGTGTCCCGTCTTGCAGCTGGTGGTCCAGCCTGGTGGTCCCGGCTCTGGCGGCGGCCATCGTCACGCTGATGTATCGCGTCTTCACCTCGGAGAGCGCCTGACGTCATCAGACACGCCGCTGTGATGTCATCACTGGGCGACAGCGGCGCCTTAGCTCCGTCCAGTGTTCAGCCTGCTCCGGACCAACACGATCCTGGATTACCCAGAATGCAGTTCACTTCGTGTAACCAGCCAATCACGTGTCTTTGTTGTAATGCGTTGGTTCTGATCCTGCACTGTTTTTATCTTTGACCTGATGTGAGCCCGTTTCTAGATCAGAGTCAGCAGCCGGGTTCTACCGTCTGCTCCGGTTCTGCTCCGGTTCTGCTCGGCTGAACACTGAATAAACAACAACTTCTACAGATTTCAGCCCAGAGTTCTGCAGCTGCTACAAAAAGTGCCTTGTTTGTACGGTGGACCTGAGCGGTTCTGTTTGGACCAGAACCAGAACAGAGCCGGTCCGGCTGTTCGACTGCAGCTGCTGCTTCATGTAATAAAGCTGATTCATCGTCCGCTGCGTGCTTTGTTCTGATAGAAGGCTTTTATTGTTGAGGGTGACAGGGTTCCTGCTGTGGGGTCAAAGGTCAGCAGGTAAACACCTGAGAGCTGTGGCTCCGCCCACAGAGAACCAGAACCAATCGTTCAAAAATAATGATTTATTTTTTATCTTTGCGTGAAAAAAGAAACAAAGTTGTGTTTATTGGAGGACAGGCAGCAACTCAAGGTGATTAAACTTTAAAACATTTGATAAAATATACTTAAACCTGAATAAACATCAGATTATTAATAACTTCTAACAAATAATGCAGTTAATTATATTATGAAATAAAAAAACATTTAATATCTGAAGAAATAAAAAAAAACTGCACACAAACATGTTCCGGTTTATAATTTTATCCTTTAACCTCTAAATCCTGGTAGATGACGTCACAGTGCTGCCCCCTGCTGGTGGGAAGATGAACTGCTTCAATTAAGCACTTTAATGCTTTAAAGTTCATCTGGTCAAAAAAATCCAAATATAATTTACTCATTGTTCAACGAAGAAGAAATTCTAAACTGTAATCTCACTTAAATTAATAAAAAATAATCTGTAGCTGGTTGGTTTATCTGACTTCCTGTTTCCTGCTGATAAACTTTAGCTGATGTCTCCTGTCAGAGAACCATGTCTGGACTGATGGACCATCAGTGATCATGTTTCTGACACGTGCAGAGAGGAGCGTCAGGATCAAAGGAGGACACTGAGGAGGTGGAGGCACAACGCTCCTCACGCGCTTCATTCATGAATGAGGTCAACTGAGACTCAGGAGCTCCACAGAACATCAGCAGATTGTTCTTTAAACGGCTGGTGGGAAGAAGCGAGTCTCAGTATGAGGTTTAGACATTAGGACATGGAATGGACATGGACGTCTCTCATAGCTGGAAAGACTCGAGGATGACTGAGACAGACCTGATCAGGTTTGACCATGAAGTTCTACTGGTGGTGTCCTCCTGCAGGTCCTCACC